AACTGCAAATGTGCAGTTCTGAACCGAGCACCACAGTCATATTTTTTTCTGGCAACCTTTTCCTGTTACTGGCGTTTACTGGCAGGAGAAAATACTCGTTTTCTACTGGCTGCCATTAAAATATTGACAGTTGGTAACACTGCTACACAGGCACTATTGCATGGGAAGTTACTCAGCCATAGCTCAAGGGATCCCTAGCAACTTCTGAAGAAACTCAAGGGTTCAACATTTGGCTGAAAATGTTAAAGGGTGGCATAAAAGCAGGAGGCTATTTTTTTTAAAACTCCCCATCATTTGCTCTTCAACATCCCCCCCCCCCCAACGTTATTGCCATGAGGTAATATTCTAAACCCAGGCTGCGTGTGTTGATGCAGTCCCAGTGGGTGGGTCCATGATGGGGGGGCTCAAAAGAAGTGGATTCAATCAGTAATCACTGTACCCAGAAGTCTTAGGTAACCCATACATTCATACTTTTTTTTTTCATTCAAAAAGTGGGTTGAACAGAAAAAAAAACATTCAGTGTGGATGGGGGAACCCTCCAGCTGTGCTAGTGTGTTCTGACAGAGGGGGCCTTCTTGGGTTCTGCTGGCGCTCCTTGTCTCTCCTACCTGCTGACTGCCCCCAGAGCAAGTTGTGTGCTATGGGGGCAGCCATGCATGCTCGCAGCCAAGGAGTCTCTGCTCTCATGCACATCGCCAGGTCTAGATCAGGCTCAGGTAAGTATTATGTAGGTGGGGGGAAGCTGCATACTGAAGATTTTTTATCTTCATATGCAGATTGCATGAAGGTAAAAAACCTTCAGCCTTTGAAACCACTTTAATATGGTGCTGTGGCTACCTTATTGGTAATGCCCAGTAACTGTGAATTGTGTAAAAATGTAAAGTACCAGTTCTGGAACAAACTTTGAGGAGGCAAAGAGATGTCAAACGAATGCAATCCCAAAGCATGCAATCAAAACAAAAACCACAGAGAAAAATGTTGGTGAACAAAAAAGATAAACCTCGAACTGAAAATTAGGATTTTGTGAGCTTAGTAAACATTGACTGAAAAAAAGTGACAGACATAAAGAAACTATTTATACTGCAGAAACTGTGGATTATTTATACAACACTTGTCACAGAATGTGGCTTTAGCAGAAAGCTTGCTAGGTTATAGTGTAAAACATTTCTACCTCACAGAATGACACATGAATGTGCTCATTGTAAGCTGCGGTGTTAGATGCAAAACAAGAGCTATCGCTTATGTAGAAGCGTCAAGTTGTTATTGTAATTTACTAGTGTTATGCTAGTTCTTTCTTTTTCAACTGTTGCATTTTTATGGGAATGAAGTAAAAATACAGTGCGAGGCAGTCTGACGTGCAGTGTTCTGCCTGTACAAAGTGAGCACTGAGGCGGGTTTGTGGACCTAACGTACTACACTGTGGTGTCTTTCTCAAAGGGTGCACACAGCCCAGCATGGAATGTTATCATTGGACACTGTACAGGTTTCCAAATAAAAAAAGAAAACTTTGTTTTCATTCCAGCTTTGTTTACTTAAAGGTTCTGAAGATTACAACTGGCAGGTTATTTGTATATCCCACCTTGGCCTCTTTCTAACCTGGCAGCTCAAAGCAGCAACCTGCCTGTTTCTATGGAACACTTTCTCTTGCGGGGCCATATGGACTGTTCCAGATACTTGGCAATAAATAACATGGTTTGCTTGCAATCTGTAGGAAATACAATTTGTGTGGAGCCCTACAGAGAAAACATACATAGAAATATGTAAAACCACTGGACAGAACCAATAAGCCTGAATCATTCCATCTAGATCCAGGCATATTTATATCAACTGTAAGTCAACCTCAAAATGTCTACCTAGATTTTGGATAGCAACAATTTTTTATTTACATGTCACACTGTTTATCTTTAACTAAACATTATCAGGTGAGCAGTACACGCAACAAGACTGCTCCATACATAAACTGTGTAAAATAGCATAGTGAAAATGAAATGGTCAGGCACTTAAAAAGAACTGGGGTCAACAAGAGAAACAGAGCATTACTATTCAAAGGATGAACTGTAGATATGGCTCGGTTCACACTACTGCGACCCCAACGTTGCGCAACTTGTGACTTGCTTGCAATTTCCTTGCAACTTGCTTGCGATTTTGTGATTTAACATTGCAGTCTATGGCACTCAGGTTGTAAAGTTGAAGAAAAGTAGTAGGAACCTGTTTTTTTTTTTTTGTTGCTACAAACTTGAGTCGCATTGATTAAGACAGCACCCATTGAAATGAATGTGTTTTGACTTTTCATGCAACATTATGTGTCGCAAGTCACATAATAAGTCACAGTAGTATGAACCGAGGCTTAACATGTTCTTTTATTTTAACCAATAATTATATAGTTATTTGTGTACAAATTACAGTGATGCATAGATGTGATCATACAAGAACTCCAGGATACCTGCACAATTTCACCTTTGCAGCTGTTCAGTATACATATGAGAAAGCTTCTTGTTGCTAAAGGCAAAAGAGCCCAGTTAAGCAGCAATGTACCTTTCAAAATGCTGTGATGTCATTAGTCCTACATCTTTTAAACAGTGCAGGCTGGAATCTGGCAGAGGGATCAGAGAGGCAGGTATGTCACATCCACTCTCTGAACAGCAGAGGAATTACAAACTACAGTTCCCATTAATGCATGGGAATAGCTTCCGGGGATTAGGTGGTATTACAGTGGGAAGTCGTGGTGGGTTGGACAGATCAGAAGTCACCTGGCCTGTCCTTTAACAGCGCCAAGGGAGTGAGCAGGTCAGACTGGCAGTCTGATGCCAGGGTCTCGCCCACTACATCGAGCAGTGTGATGACATCCTGCTTGTTGTAGCACAGGACTACTGAGGGGAAGTTACAAGACCGGTGGTCAGGGGAATAGCAGGGATCTCTTCCACCGGTTTTGTAAAATGGAAATCAGGATGACACAGCAGGACTGAGCATTGATTCAAAGGAGTATTTAGAAGAAACAGAATGAAAACAATTGCATGAAAAGAGCTAAAGATTTTATTGTAAAAAAAAGGACCTTTTATATTATCTAAAACATAGATGCACAGAGTTCAGCTTTAAAGTGATATTAAAGGTTATTTTTTTATTAAATAAAAAAAAAGTTTTACTCACCTGCTCTGTGCAATGATATCGTACAGGGCAGTCTCTTGCCTTCTTTTTTCAGTCCCCCACTGGCACTACCAGCTCCACCTCTCCTCTGATTTCCCTCTCAGCTAGCCAGGTGCTAAAGGGGTACCCATGGGGGCACGCTAACGTGTCACTCTATAGACACACACAGCACTAATAGGCCATGACTCCACTCCCTGTTCACATTAGTTTGACAGACAGCAGTAGGAACCTATGGACTATGAACTTTGAGGATAATTTGTTTCACAGTGATTTCACCATCAGAGGTGAGTAAAGGTTTAGTTTAAAGCTCGTTTACTGTTTGTTAAGAATACGTAAAAATGTAAATGTCTGTTGTCAGGTCACAGGTTCATTGTAAGTGCATTTGCACAGTTTCTGTGCTATTGCTATTTAACAGCATAACTTTACTATTGCTCCTTTATTGTACATTTAACTAGTTGCCGACAGCTGCAGTGCGGCCGGCCAGTTCTGGGAGGGCGTCATAAGACGTCCTCATAGAACGCGCTCTCCTGCGCACCCGGCGATCTCCATGATTGCTGTGTCCTATGGACACAGCTGATCATGTGATATGGTAAAAGACCAATCACAGCAGCCTTTTACCACGTGATCAGCCATGTCCAATGACACGCTGATCACAGGGAAATGCAATTGCCGGTTCTCAGCTGCACTTTCCTCATGCTGTCAGAGCATGAGGAAAGTACTGCCAAGAACCGGCAGTTGTCAGAGCAGGGATCGGCACTGATCATCAGGGCACTGATGATCAGTGCCCCGATGATCGGTGTCTAGTAGTGCCACCCACAAGTTCTGCCCACCTGTGCCCAGCAGTGCCGCCCACCTGTGCCCATCAGTGCCACCTACCTGTCCCATCAGTGCCACCCACCAGTGGCCAGCAGTGCCACCCACCTGTGCCCACCAGTGCCACCCACCTGTGCCCATCAGTGCCCACCAGTGCCACCCACCAGTGCCCATCTGTGCAGCCCAGCAGTGCCACCAGTCAGTGCCCAGCAGTTGCGTCAGCCAGTGCCCAGCAGTTGCGCCAGTCAGTGCCCAGCAGTGCCACCAGTCAATGCCCAGCAGTGCCACCAGTCAATGCCCAGCAGTGCTGCCAGTCAGTCCCACCTATCAGTGCCGACTATCAGTACCCATCATCAGTGCCGCCTATCAGTGCCACCTATCCGTGCCACCTCATTAGTGCCACCTATCAGTGCCACCTTCCCATGCCACCTCATTAGTGCTGCCTATCAGTGCCCTTCAGTGCTGCCAATCAGTGCCGTCATTCAATGCCCATCAGTGCCACCTATCAGTGCCATCAGTGCTGCTTATCAGTGCAGCCTCGTCAACGCACATCAGTGAAGAAGAAAAATTACCTGTTTGCAAAATTTTATAATAGAGACAAAGAAACTTTTTTTTTTTTCTCTTTTTTTGTTTATAGCGCAAAAAGTAAAATACCCAGCAGCAAGTAAATACAACCAAAAGAAAGCTCTATTTGTGAGAAAAAAAATTATAAAAATTTCCTACGGGTACAATGTTGCATGACCGTGCAATTGTCATTCAAACAGCGCTGAAAGATGAAAATTGGTCTGGTAAGGAAGGGGGTATAAGTGCCCGGTAGGCAAGTGGTTAAAGCAAGTGTAGATAAAGATGCTTATTAATTAAAAGAGAAGTGTGTTTTTTTCCCCCAAATTATACTTACCTAGGTGGATGCAGCATCGATCCAATGCTGCATCTTTCCCCTGCTGGCTCTAAATATGAGAACTCAGCGATCACACGAGTTCTCACCGCCGCTGTGAGCAGACATTGGTGACTCTCAGTCATCGTTGTCTGTTCTGCTCCCCCAGCGCTCACTGGAGAGCTGGGCTGTGGAGGGGGAGGAAGTGGCTGGCTAAGGCTCTAAGCCAGGGGTCCTCAAACTTTTTAAACAGGGGGCCAGTTCACTGTCCCTCAGACCATTGGAGGGCCGGACTATAGTTTCTAGAAAAAAAAAAATTTTAAACAAATGTGGACACAGTACAGGAGATGACCAGAGACTGCGGACATACAACGGCGGTGGGAATACTTAGCCAGCCGCTCCATAAGACGCACAGACATTTCCCCCCAAGTGTGTCTTATGGAGCAAAATAGTGCCCCATCATTGGTGTCAGTGGGAGGAATAGTGCCCCATCATTGGTGTCAGTGGAAAGAATCGTGCCCCATCATTGGTGTCAGTGGGAAGAATCGTGCCCCATCATTGGTGTCAGTGGGGGGAGGAATAGTGCCCCATCATTGGTGTCAGTGGGGGGAGGAATAGTGCCCCATCGTTGGTGTCAGTGTGGGGGGGTGAATAGTGCCCCATCATTGGTGTCAGTGGGGGAAGGGGATAGTGTCCCAACATTGGTGTCAGTGGGGGAAGGGGATAGTGCCCCATCATTGGTGTCAGTGAAAGGAATAGTGTCCCATCATTGGTTTCAGTGGGAGGAATAGTACGTCATTGGTGTCAGTGGGGGGGAATAGTGCCCCGTCATTGGTGTCAGTGGGGGGGCGGATAGTGTCCCATCTTTGGTGTCAGTGGGAGGAATAGTACGTCATTGGTGTCAGTAGGGGGGAATAGTACCCCATCACTGGTGTCAGTGGGGGAAGGAATAGTGTTCCATCCCTGCTGTCAGTGGGGGGGAGGAATAATGCCCCATCATTGGTGTCAGTGGGAGGAGGAATAGTGCCCCATCATTGGTGTCAGTGGAAAGAATAATGCCCCATCATTAGTATCAGTGAAACCAATGATGGGGCACTATTCCTCCCACTGACACCAATGACACTTAACTTGCTGACCCCTTTTCCAGCATGGTGCTGCTGGAGCCAGCATACCTGGTTGCAGCAGCACCATCAGCACGGCGCACCTGTCAGCTGACTGGATCGTCGTGGTACTGGGACCGGAGCTAGGTAAGGTACAGCAGCCCCCTGCCCACCCCTGTACTTAGTGTCCCTTCCTCGCAGAAAATACGCTCCTGCCAGCGGGCCGGATAAATGGCCTCGGCGGGCTGCATGTGGCCCGCGGGCCGTAGTTTGGGGACCCCTGCTCTAAGCAGATCGCTGACAGGTTGAGCCAGGTTCCTGCTCCAGACTCTGAGGTGGATCCTGACTTGAAAGTCGGAATCTTTCCCCAGCCTGCACTTTTCTCTGTCAGCTGAAAATGGGTCCCAGGAGTGCAGAATGAACTACACACCTATGATCCACAGAAGTATAGCCAAAAGAGTACTTCTCCTTTAAATGCTTCAACTGTTAATCCATGTAAGCAAGAATACTTAGTTTCCTTAAAAGGGAGCTATGTACTCTCATCATTTTCAGGGTTAGATAAAGGGCTAAAGGACGTTTTGAAAGATAATACATCTCTTTCTTATTAGTGGAACATCTAATCTCATGTATGGAAATCCAGATTTATATATATATCCCCAGGGTGTGGAATCTAAGTCCCAGCCTGCTACTTCACCAGGGACCCTGATGGTGGGGATGGACTTGCAGCAAGATAGAACCAGGTCACAGCCCCCTGGTACGTCCAGCTGAGAATGTGGAGACCAATAGCGTTTGCAGAGTACAGAGGCAGGAGACTAAAGCCAGGAAAGTCAGGAAGCAAGCTGAGGTCTGGGTGGGTGGCAGGCAAGCACAGACAGTAGACAAATCCAAGACTAGTATACGAGTAGTCAGACAGAGGATAGTAAGCAGACAAAATAGTAAGCAGAAGGGGGCTCAGAGAACTGTGAAGTTGCTTGGGCAACATGGCCTGCACTGAGCATGTGTATACACCAAGTATTGGAGGGCCTGCCTTTACACACACAAACTTTCATGGCATCCCAGTCTTAGTCCATAGGGTTTAATATTGAGTTGCCCCACCCTTTGTAGCTATAATAGCTTCAACTTTTCTGGGAAGGCTGTCCACAAGGTTTAGGAGTGTGTCTATGGGAATGTTTGACCATTCTTCCAGAAGCACATTTGTGAGATCAGGCACTGATGTCGGATGAGAAGGCTTGGCTTGAAGTCTCCGCTCTAATTCATCCCAAAAGTGTTCTATCTGGTTGAGGGCAGGACTCTGTTTAGGCCACTCGAGTTCCTCCACCCCAAACTCACTCATCCATGTCTTTATGGACCTTGCTTTGTGCACTGGTGCACAGTCATGTTAGAGCAAGAAGGGGCCATCCCCAAACTGTGTCCACAAAGTTGGGAGTATGAAATTGTCCAAAATGTCTTGATCTGCTGACGCCTTAAGAGTTCCCTGGAACTAAGGGGCCAACCCCACACCATAATCCACCCTCCAGAAAACTTTACACTTGGCAAGTACCGTTCTCCTGGCAACCGCCAAACCCAGACATGTCCATCAGATTGCCACCATGATTCGTCACTCCAGAGTCTAGAGTCCAGTGGTGGCATGCTTTACACCACTGCATCTAATGCTTTGCATTGCACTTGGTGATGTAAGGCTTGGATGCAGCTTCTCGGCCAGGGAACCCCATTCTACACACTGTTGTTGTGCTCTCTACACACTGCTGTTGTGCTAATCTGAAGGTCATACAAAGTTTGGAGGTCTTTAGCTATTGAGTCTGCAGATAGTTGGAGATTTCTGCACACTATGCATTTTAGCATGTGCAGACCCCGTTCTGTCATTTTATGTAGCCTACCACTTCATGGCTGAGTTGCTGTTGTTCCCAGTTGCTTCCACTTTGTTTTAATACCACTAACAATTGTTAGGGCTCGTTCACACTTGACTGTTTTACCAATGCTTGCCAAACGCCCCTATAGCGTTTGGCAAGCGTTGGTCCGGCGTTTGCGGAGCGTTTTTTAACGCTCACCAAACGCTCCGCAAACGCCGCATGCGCGGTTTAGCGGAGTTTGCTAGGTGTCTGCAGAGTGTTAAAAACGCCCCACAAATGCCTATAATGAACTTTAAATGGTGTTACCGCTCCGCAAACGCCCCGCAACCGCGCAGCAATTGCCGCCGGGCGTTTGCGGAGCGGCACCATAGACAAGAATAGGAGGCTTCAATGCTTCCTGACTCGTCCAGAGACATCCGTTTTGCCGCACCGCGACGCGACGCTACCACTCCGTTAGAACAGCACCATGTGCTGCAATGTGCAGAATTGCCAGGGGCGTTTGGGAAGCGGTAAAAAAGATTCCCAAATGTTTCTCTGCTGCCTGCACACAACGCTAGTGTGAGCGTAGCCTTAAATATTTAGTAGCAAGGAAATTTAATTGATGGACTTATTGCACAGGTGGCAACCTATCACGGTACCATGCTTGAATTCACTGAGCTCCTGAGAGCGACTCATGCCTAGGTGCTAGGTGATTTTATACATCTGTGGCCATTGAGGTGATTGGAACACCTGAATCCAATGATTTGGAGGGGTGTCAAAATATTTTTGGCAATATAGTGTATATAGGAAAGCAAACTGGGAGTCGGGCAGGTGTCTGATGTCACTGAAGTAAAAATATTTTTCTATGTACTCTTCGCCATTGTCCACACACTTAGCCCAATGGTGTCCCAGTGCTCAGATCCCTGTAACAAAAAAAAAATCAGATGTTTGCTCCTTCAAAAACATAGCCATTACATCCATGACATCATCGTCACTGGTGAAATGATCACCAGGCATCTTCTTATTCAGTTTTGGAAAAAGGTGCCAGCCCGGGGTGAGAGATCTGGTGAGCAAGGTGGATGGTAACCAGAGAAAAGCCACATTAATGGATGGCAGCCATCGCCACAGATCAGTGTGGAGTCACATTGTCTTGATGAAATAAGACTCCCTTCAGGAGCATACCATGTCTTTTCACCTGGCGATGGCATCACGCAAACAATGTATCAAGTAGTCCCCAGTGATAGTTTGTCCTTTCTAAATGTAATTGATGAGCAGCATTTGAAATTCCAGAAGAGTGTCACCATCACTTTGTCCACTGATGGAACATTCTGAGCCTTCTTTTGTGTGGGGTAGGAGGTGTGTTTTCCACTGTTTCAACTAACATTGGCTCTCAGGTTGGAAGTGGTGGACCCAAGTTTCATCCACAGTCACAAACCTGGCACAAATGCTCCCCCGATATATCCTAAATAGCTGCAGATTGCCCCTGTATGCAACAAGTTATGTGCGTTTTTGACAGGAAACAGTAACCGTGAAACTCTTTGGGTAGAAACCTTGTGCATATGAAGATGTTGGGGCAAGTTGCACTGAACTGTGGTTTTTGATATGCATGTTACGCTAGCAAAAGTCTGGGTGTCAACTCCGCAATCTGCCATTAGCTCATGCACAGTTAATATTTTCTAGTGTGGTCACATCCGCTGGTCTGCCAGAACCAGGGTCATCTTCGAGGCTGTCCCATCCCTACTTGAATTCCTCTGCTCAGTTCTTAACAGTGCTGTATAATGGGACATCCTCCCCCAGCATTGCAAACATATCCTCAAAGATGCCTACAGGATTTAGGCCCTTCCATAACAAATGATCACATATGTCTTCACTTTCTCCATTTTCAACTCAATTGCGGGGATTACCAAAGGTGTGCACAAAAACTGTATAACACGCATTTGCACAATTTCAAAGCTGAACATCTGGAAGAGTGGCTTGGTGCAATGATAAAGTTTCATATCTGTGCGGTTGCTCCTTCAACAGCATCGGTTTTGGGGCACCCTATGTATATTTCTTGAAGAATCCAATTACAGCATATCCCTTTTGTAGTTCCTGGCTCTGTTCCTGCCAGCTATGGAGTTAAGAGTAGTTCCACCCACTTTTCATGTACTTTATCATCCAGTAGTATTCTCCACAATATAAAATAAACAAAACATCAAGCAAGAGAGAGTGGAAACCTCTCATAATAGTGATAGCAGATGTGCAGGTCTAGAAACTTAAGATGGAAATCTTAACACCACAGTCGAAGAGTGAGGTCATTTAAAGGATTTAATGACACAGCATTCACCAAATTCTGAAATTAGTTTTGGGTGGATTACCTTTTAAATTACTGCCTTGCTGTAATAGAGCAGTTATGCAATCCACTGTCTGACACCATATATGATGTGTCAACCCCTCCACTACCTCAAGGTGACTCCTAACACACTGTACATAGGGCAGAATAGGGGTAGATTCTCCTGCATTATAGCAGTGGACTGTTTTTTCTATGATCTCTGACATAGCATGAATGAGGACTAAACATACAAAAATCTCAGGTTCAAAAAGTTTTGAGATTGTCTGTCAGTATACAATGCCGTGAAAAGTATTCATACCCCTTGAAATTTTCCACATTTTGTCATGTTACAACCAAAAATGAAAATATAATTTATTGGAATTTTAAGTGATAGACCAAAAAAAAGTGGTACATAATTGTGAAGTAGAAGGAAAATGATAAATGGTTTTCAAATAAATATCTGAAAAGTGTGGCGTGCACTTGTATTCAGCCCCCTTTAGTCTGATACCCCTAACTAAA